AAGTACGGTTAATCCAAAGGAGCGTGAACCGACAGAGAACCTCAGCCACTGTATAAAGAAGATATCTGTCCAGGTTTCATTATCAGGAGACCACCGTACCCCAATATTTATTCAGAATCCTCCAGATGAAGGCTTGGCACCAGGTGTCCCAGGGGGTTGGGGCAGGAACAAGAGTCTGGGGACCTGAGTGGCCGTGTGGTCAAGCACAATGGCTCTCATGTCTCAAAGAACCCAAGGAGGCTTGTAAAAGCACAGATTCCAGAACCCTGCCCCACACTGTGAAAATCAGCACCTCTGGAGGTGGGCTCGAGGTGGCCCTGCTGGGTGCCTTTTCTGCAGAGAAAGATAGAGAAACTAAAGGACTGAATTCTTGCCTTGGGTCTGCAGCAAACTTGGAACATGATCTCAAGTCAATCCTTTACCCTTCTGGGTCTCCATTTAGTTTGTTTTAAAATGAAAATAATTCTGCCTGCTTATCTACCTCAAGATGACTGGGGGACTCCAATAAAAGAGGGCAAAAAGGGAGAATTTACATAATGTTACTTCACTTCGGTTCACAGACGTGAACACCATCATTTCCTTTATCCAGATGAGGATGACAGGCACTGAGAGGTAAAGTAATTTGCCAAGGTCCCGAGTCTTGTAGGCGAGGGAGCCCAGATTTGAATTCAGGCATGTCTGGGCTCCAGAGCTTTCTGTTCAGGAAAGGTGCTCCTCTGAGATTTTAGAAGCCAAGTAGATGCTTGGTCGTCAAGCTGAAGCCTGTGGACCAGCAGCATCACCTGGGAGTTTGTTAGGAACGCAGATTCTCAGGCCGTAGCCCAAGCTGACTGCATCAGAATCTGCATTTGAACGAGCTCTCCAGGTGACTCCTGTGCCCCCAAAAGATTAGAAGTACTGTTGTGGAAGGCTTGAGATTAGACAAGAGAACACATGTGAGAATGAGGTTATGGTAAACAGGCATCCGACAAAAATGTGAGGTCCTCGCATATCTGAGCAAAGAAGAAATCATTACTGGGGGACTCCTGTGAGAGGAAGGAAGGTACTTGAGTCCACACTGCAGCGGGGCAGGCCTTATCTGAGAAGTCCAAACCTCCCAGGGGAATGGGTTTTAAGATGGAAACAAATTGTGTGTGCATGTGTGTATTTAAAATTCAAAGATAATAGGGTTATTTTTATTTTTCAAAATGGAAGAAAGAAAAGTCAGGAAGAAAACGTTTAGCAAAGCATAATGTTGTCACTTTTCATTTATCTTGGGAGCGATTCCTTTATGGCAGACAGCAACCGCCAGGGAAGATGGCCAGCTAGGTGGGGGGAAGTTCAGCTTCCAGAATATCATTTCTATGAGGGTTGGTCCTCAGCTTAACATCCTAAGACCCATCAGAGGCTATTTCCCTGGTCCTCAGACTGCCGCAGAGAGGGGCCCCAGCACAGGATGCTCACTCAGAATGCAACAAGCGGCAAATGCCCTGGCCCAGGGATCGGAAGTGACACTTGCAAACCAAGGCTTTGAGAAGTATGGGAAAGCATCCAGGTAGCACCCCAAACTGCTAGCCTTGAGAGGGCAACGTCAGTCCAGGGCAAAGAGATTCTCCACGTGGGGCCGGAATGAGCAGCAGGATCTGCTTCGGGGAAGAGTGCCCGATGCCAGGCCTTTGGTCCCTCCTTGCCTTCCCCGGCTTAGCTCTGCCGAGGCTGCTGACACCCCTGGGTGAGCTGGGGTTTCTTTCCAGTAATTTTTAACACATGTTCTCCT